TCTAGGAGTTTTATAGTTTTTCATTTTCCATTTAGGTCTATGATCCATTTTGAGTTAATTTTTGTGAAGCTTGTAAGAGCCTGTCTAGATTCATGTTTTGCATGTCTTTGTTCAGTCGTTCCAGTACCATTTGTTGAAAAGACTATCTTTGCTCCCTTGTACTGTCTTTTCTCCTTTGTCAAAGTCAGTTGAGTACATTTATGTCAGTGTATATCTGGACTCTCTATTCTGTTCCATTGATCTATTTGTCTGTTCTTGCACCAATACCACACTGTCCTGATTACTGTAGCTTTATAGTAAGTCTTGAAGTCAGTGGTGTCAGTCCTCCAACTTTGTTCTTCTCCTTCAATGTGTTGGCGTTTCTGGGTCTTTTGCCTCTCCATGTAAACTTGAGAATTGGTTTGTCTATATCCACAAAATAACTTGCTGGGATTTTGATTGGTATTGCATTGAATCTATAGATCAAGTTGGAAAGAACTGACATCTTGACAACAGTGAGTCTTCCTATTGATGAACATGGAATATCTCTCCATTTATTTAGTCCTTCTTTGATATCTTTCATCAGTTTTATAACTTTCCTCATATAGATCTTGTACATATTTTGTTAGATTTATACCTAAGTATTTCATTTTGGAGGGGGATTGCTAATGTAAATGGTATTGTGTTTTTAATTTCAAATTCCACTTGTTCATTGCTCATTGTTCATTGTATATAAGAAAGCCATTGACTTGTGTGTGTTAACCCTGTATCTTGTAACCTTGCTATAATTGCTTATGAGTTCCAGGAGTTTTTTTGTTGATTCTTTTGAATTTTTTAATGTATAGACAATTACATCATCTATGAACAAAGACAGTTTTATTTTTTCCTTCTCAATCTGTATACCTTTTATTTCCTCTTCTTGTCTTATTGCATTGGCTAGGACTTCCAGTATGATGTTGAAAAGCAGTGGTGAGAGGGATGCCCTTGCCTTGTTCCTGTTCTTAGAGGGAAAGCTTCAGGTTTCTCACCAGTAAGTATGTTAGGGGGTAGGGTTTTTTTTTTTTTTAAATCAATTTGAGGAAATTTCCCTCTTTTCCTAGTTTACTGAGAGTTTTTGTCACAAATGTGTGTAAAATTTTGTCAGATGCTTTTTCTGCATCTATTGATGTGATCATCTGATTTTTCTTTTTCAGCCTATTGATGTGATGGATTTTATGAATTGATTTTCAAATTTTGAACCAGCCTTGCATACTTGGGATAAATCCCACTTGGTCATGGTGCATAATTCTTCTTATTCATTGTTAGATTCATTTGCTAATATCTTTTTGAGGAATTTGGTATTTATATTCAGGAGAGATATTGGTCTGTAGTTTACTTTTCTTGAACTGTCTTTGTCTGGTTTTGGTATTAGGGTAATGTTGGCCTCATAGAATAAGTTAGGAAGTATTCCCTCTGTAGAGAATTGGTATAATTTCTTCCTTAAATGTTTGATGGAATTCACCAGTGAACCCACCTGGGCCTGGTGCTTTCTGTTTTGGAAGGTTATTAATTGTTGATTCAATTTCTTGAATAGATATAGGCCTATTCAGATTGTCTATTTCTTTTTGTGTGAGTTTTGCCAGATTGTTTCTTTCAAGGAATTGGTTCATTTCACCTAGGTTATCAAATTTGTGGGCATAAGGTTGTTCATAGTTGTTCATTTATTATCCTTTTAATATTCATGAGATCTGTATTGATGTCCCCTCTTTCATTTCCAATATTATTTATTTGTCTCCTCTCTCTCTTTTTTTTCTTAGTCTAGCTACAGACATCAATCTTATGTATCTTTTCAAAGAAGCAGCTTTTGGTTTCTTTGATTTTCTCTATTGATTTCTTGTTTTCAGTTTCAATGATTTCTGCTATTGTTTTTATTATTTCTTTTCTTCTGCTTAGTTGGGTTCAGTTTGCTCTTATTTTTCTATTTTTCTAAAGTGGAAACTTAGATGATTGATTTTAGATCTTTCTTCTTTTCTAATATATGCATTCAGTGCTATAAATTTCCCTCTAAGCACTGCTTTTGCTGCACCCCACAAGTTTTGATAAGTTGTTCTTATTTTCATTTAGTTCAAAATAATTCTAAATTTCTCTTGAGAGTTCTTCTTTAACCCATGTGTTATTTAGAAGTGTTTTGTTTAATCTCCAACTATTTTAGGATTTTCCTGCTATCTTTCTGTTATTGATTTCTAGCTTAATTCCATTGTGTCTGAAACCAGACATTGTATGATTTCTATTTTAAAATTTGTTAAGGTGTATTTTATGACCCACAATGTGGTCTATCTTGGTTAATGTTCCATGTGAGCTTGAGAGGAATGTGTATTCTGATTTTGTTGGATGAAGTAGTCTATAGATGTCCATTATATCCAATTGATTGATGGTGTTGATTTCAACTATGTCCTTACTTTCCTGCCTGCTAAATGTGTCCATTTCTGATAGAGGGGTGTTGAAGTTTCCAACTATAATAGTGGATTCATCTGTTTCTCCTTGAAGTTCCATCAGTTTTTGCCTCATATATTTTCACACTCTGTTGTTATGTGCATGCATGTTAAGGATAGTTATATCTTCTTGGAGAGTTGCCCCTTTATCATTATATAATTCACTCTTTATCCCTGATAACTTTCCTTACTCTGAAGTCTGCTGTCTGAAATTAACATAGCTACTTCTGCTTTCTTTTATTTTTTTGTGTGTGTGAGGAGGACTAGCCCTGAGCTAACATCCAATGCCAATCCTCCCCTTTTTTCTTGAGGAAGAGTGGCCCTGAGCTAACACCCATGCCCATCTTCCTCTACTTTATATGGGACGCCACCACAGCACGGCTTACCAAGCAGTGCATCGGTGCGCACCTGGGATCCGAACCTGCGAACCCCGGGCTGCCAAAGCAGAGCATGCACACTTAACCGCTTGCGCCAACGGGCCGGCCCCTCCTTCTGCTTTCTTTTGATTCATGTTAGCATGGTGTATCTTTCATCCATTTATTTTTAATCTATATGTGTCTTTATATTTAGAGTGGGTTTATTGTAGGCAACATATAGCTGGGTCTTGTTTTTTGATCCACTTAGACAATCTCTGTCTTTTGATTGGTGCATTTAGACCATTGACGTTCAAGGTGATTATTGGTATAGTTGGATTAATAGCAACCATATCTGTTACTATTTGTTGCCTTTGTTCTTTGTTTTGAGTTTTGTCTTCCACTCTTTTTCTGCCTTTTGTGGTTTTTTTTTTTTTTTTTTTTTTTTAGATTTTATTTATTCATTGTTTTCCCCCCAAAGCCCCAGTAGATAGTTGTATGTCATAGGTTCACATCCTGCTAGTTGCTGTACGTGGGACTTGGCCTCTGGTTGGACGGAGAAGTGGTGCCTTGGGGCGTGCCTGAGATCCGAACCCGGGCCGCCAGCATCAGAGCGCGCGCACTTAACCGCCGAGCCACGGAGCCGGCCCCTTTTGTGGTTTTAATTGAGCATTTTACGTGATTCCATTTTCTCTCCTTTCTTAGCATATCAGTTAAGCTTCTTTTACTTTTTTTAGTGGTTGTCCTAGAGTTTGCAATATACATTTACAACCAATCCAAGTCCACTTTTAAATAACATTATACTGCTTCATAGGCAGTGCAAATACCTTATAACAACAAAATAATCCTAATTCCTCCCTCCTATCCCTTGTATCATTGCTGTCATTCATTTCATTTATATGTAAGTATACATACACATATATATACATGTAAGCATACATAGTTGAATACAGTGTTGCTATTATTATTTTGAAGAAAGTGTTATCTGTTAGATCAATTAAGAATAATAAATGTTTTAATTTTATCTTCACTTATTACATTTCCAGTGTTCTTCCTTTCTTTATGTAGATCCAAATTTCTTACCTATATCATTTACCTTCTCTCTAAAGAAATTCTTTTAACATTTCCTGCAAGGCAGGTCTACTGGTAACAAATTCCTTCAATTGTTGTTCATCTGAGAAGTGTTTCGCCTTCATTTTTTTTTTTTGAGGAAGATTGGCCCTGAGTTGGCATCTATTGCCAATCCTCCTCCTTTTTTCCTTTTTTCTCCCCAAAGCCTCAGTAGATAGTTGTATGTCATAGTTGTACATCCTTCTAGTTGCTGTATGTGCAACGCCGCCTCAGCATGGCTTGATGAGTCATGCATAGGGCTGCGCCCAGGATCCGATCCATTGAACCCTGGGCTGCCAAAGCAGAGCACGAAAACTTAACTGCTAAGCCACTGTGCCAGCCCCTCTCCTTCATTTTTGAAGGATCATTCTGCAGGGTGCAGAATTCTAGGTTGGTGTTTTTGTTCTCTCAACACTTAAATATTTCATTCCATTCTTTCTTATTTGCGTGGTTTCTGAGGAAAAGTCAGATGTAATTCTCACGTTGGTTCTCCTCTAGTTAAGGTGGTTTTTTCCTCCTCTGTCTTCTTTCACAATATTTTTCTTTATCTTTGATTTTCTGCAGTTTAAAAATGATATGCCTGGGCTGGCCCTGTGGCTTAGCGGTTAAGTGCGCGCGCTCCGCTACTGGCGGCCTGGGTTCGGATCCCGGGCGCGCACCGACGAACCGCTTCTCTGGCCATGCTGAGGCCATGTCCCACATACAGCAACTAGAAGGATGTGCAACTATGACATACAACTATCTACTGGGGCTTTGGGGGAAAAATAAATTAATTAAAAAATTAAAAAAAAAATGATATGCCTATGTGTAGTTTTTTTGGGCATTTATCCTGCTTCTCTGAGCTTTTGGGATCTATGGTTTGGTGTCTGACATTAATTTGAGGAAATTCTGTTATTATTGTTTCAAATATTTCTTCTGTTTCTCTCTTTTTTTTCTTTCTGCCAGTTCCATTACATGCATGTTACACCTTTTGTAGTTGTCCTACAGTCCTTGGATATTCTGTTCTTTTTTTTCTGTCTTTGTTTTCTTTGCTTTTCAGTTTTGGAGATTTCTATTGAGATATGAGAGAATTTCCATCTGTGCTTACATTGCCCATCTGTTCTTCCATGCTGTCTGCTTTATCCATTAGAGCCCTTGGTACATTAATCACATTAATCATAGTTGTTTTAAATTCCAAGTTGGATAATTCCAACACTTCTGCCATATCCAAGTCTGGTTCTGATGCTTGCTCTGTCTGTTCTGTGTTTTTTGTCTTTTAGTTTGTCTTGTAATTTTTTCTTGATAGCCAGGCATGATGTACTAGGTAAAAAGAACTGCTATAAATAGGTCTTTATTAAAATGGTGGTAAGGTGTTAGGGGAGAAGAAGTGTTCTATAGTCCTATGATTAGGTCTCCGTCTTTTAGTAAGCCTGTGCCTCTGGACTGCAAACTTCACGTGTGTGTCTTCATTTTCTCCCCCACTTAGGTGGGACATGATAGTTAGTGTGGGCTGGACTTGGGCATTTTTCTTCTCCAGTTCAGTTAGGCTCTGATAATACCCTAGTAGGTTAGACTCTGGTTAACTAGTTTTCCCTGAGGGCAGGCCTTGTCTGACATATTTCCAAAATGGTTCCTTTTCCCCTCCCCTGGAAGCACCAGGGGATTTTTCTCTGATACTGATTTTTCTCTGGGAATCTGGTCGAGCTCCTGGAGATAAATCTCACAGAGTTGTAGGGGCCCCTACCATGACTGGATCCCCCTGGAGTTTTTAACTCTCCGAGTTGTCCTCTCTGAGCTTCCAGCAACTACAGCTCCAGTGTTCCCACCCTGGCACTGTTCCTGCAGGTGGTTTCTGCTCGTGAGTCTTTACTCCCGTAAATTGTTCTCCTCTGTATTTTCTTGTTGGTCACTCCGGTCTTGGGGGCAGCAGTTTGCCCTGTGTCCTTACCTCTCTTATGGATCCTGGAAGATGTGTTGATTTTTCAGTCTGTTTAGCTTTTTACTTGTTGTTAGAGTAACACCTTCCAGGAGTGGCAGCTTCCAAGCTTCTTACATGCCAGACAGGAAACTGGAAATCATTTTTTAAAAATCAAGACAAGACACTAAGGTTAAAAGTTGGATTTATATCATGTCTGTAAGTAAATAGAGTTATCACTCTTACAAAATATTTCTAATGAAGAAAGCTTATCTACATATAAAAGCAAAATGTCAAGAATTTAAAAAACAAATCCCCACAATGTTCCTCATCTAGTATAACAGGCTCCTAAAAGAGAAGCCTTTCCTAAATCTTTCTGAATGCCGTTAATTTATATCTCTATGTGGGTTTGATAGCGCTTACTTTTCTCATTACCCTATCCTGAAATTTCTTTCCCTACAATATTAAATGGATCTACTTAAAGACACCTGGATTTTTACTTGAAAAGAGAAAATTATTTTAATATAAATCTCATGCCATTGAAAAACTACAAATAGGATAAATCCTTGCTAATGTTCACTTTAATTTTGTTGATTAAAAATCCAAATCCCTCTAAATACACTGTTTTTACGAATATTTTTTAAGTTCAAAATCTAAATAAAGAGATGCTCTTAATCAATTAGCATTATCTTTGTATATATGCTGTGCATTGAGAAAATAGGAAATGGCTTATTTTTTATTTGAAAGTGGAAGTCTTTGGCTTGCAGCTTGCCACTCAGCACTCCCTGGTGACATCTAGATTGTGAGCTGCACAGTGGGCCTGGGCGTGGTCATTGCATATCTGCAGCCAAGTGTGCAATTAAGTCTTTGGCATCTTGCATGATGGAGGGTATCTCTGAGCCGTTCTCAGTCACTTGGGTTCCAAACAAGAACATCTTCCTGTCATTTCCCACCTCAGATAATGCCAAAGCTTCATGGATATCTGTAATGTGATAGGCTGCTTCAAGATCCTTCACCCAGAATGGAAAAAGAATAGGAAAAAAAGTGGGTTATTTTCCAATCCTTCTGGATAGATATATTTATTACTTTCATTTATTGCTCTCAATGACCCCATCTCCTCTTTAATACAGAGGATATTGTGACCCCATTATTATGACCCTAGTGGTTGTTTGAATATCAAGATTTTCATCAGAATTATACCAGCATTTATGAGTTATCATCAAAAAAGTATTTTCTGGAGTGAAGTTAAGCCAATATAATACCTTAATCAATTTTCTAAACAGTGTAGTCAATTTGCTTCTAATTTTGTTTTTCCATTTTGCTTTTTATTTTCCCAAGATTATATTCAATAGGATCTATTATTTTTAATTTATCTTTAACAATAAAAATTTGATTCATTAATTGGTTTTTGTCCATATCATATTTTATTGATTATAGCATTTGTCACTGTGAGTTTTCTTTTGTGACCATTATTTCTACTGAACAAAAAATTTGGGATCAAACTTGGTGGTGTGGAGGGAGACAGAGAAGGGAGCGGGAAGGGAGTGGATTTAGAAAATGGAGTGGTGGAGAAGGAGGCTGAGAAGGGAGCAGGAAGGGAGTGGATTTAGAAAATGGAGTGGTGGAGAAGGAGGCTGATGGGGAGGGACAGGTGGAGACAAAGAGGACAAGATGGAGAGGTGATGAAGGCTTGAAGGGGGGAAACCCACAGGGCGAGGCAGAGAGCGGAGAGATTAAAATGAGGAGACAGAGAGCCGTTGCTCATGCTGCACGGCAAGGTCAAAACCTTCTGGAGGTCAAAATGGCGAGGTCAAAATGGCAAGGTCAAAGCATACTTCTTTGCCTCTCACACATCAAGAATTATTTTTATTTTATTTTATTTGTGAGGAAGATCGGCCCTGAGCTAACATCTGCCAATCCTCCTCTTTTTGCTGACGAAGACCGGCCCTGGGCTAACATCCATGCCCGTCTTCCTTCACTTTATGTGGGACGCCGCCCCAGCATGGCTTGTCAAGCGGTGCGTCGGTGCGCGCCCAGGATCCGAACCAGCGAACCCTGGGCCACCGCAGCGGAGCACGTGCACTTAACCGCTTGTGCCACCAGGCTGGCCCCAACACATCAAAAATTATTTATGCAAATGACTTCCACTGTTTCCTTTTCTAAATACACACCCAGATTCAGCTACAGTTTTTCAGTCCTTTGCAAAAGTTTTAGCATTTTCACTTCTAAAACTGCATTTGTATTTGGCTTTTTGTTGTTGTTCCATAGTGGTCTACTTAAGCTTTAGGGGATCACTTCTAAATCTCTGGAAATAATCCCATGTTGTGTCATTTTTTTTCTTGTACCAATATGAACCTATCAAATTCCATTACTGGAAGCCTGTGAGACTTTTCCTGACGTGCTGTACATGGTTTCTGGCTGGAGTTGATTACCTTTTTGGATGTTGGTCATCCCAGTATATTACCTGTCTGAAATCTGAATTTATTTAGTCCTAAGCCTGCAGTGACTTTTGTGGCAGTGTTAATGGATCCAGTAACATGTGGACGATGTCTAAAGTTAATAAATTCACTGATGGAATTGGAGAGGAAGGAAATAGGAGAAGGAGAGTGTTGGATGGGGGAAGGACTCTTTGTAATGATAAAAGCATATCAGGGCTAAATACCAGGTTTATTCCACACTTACATAATTGTACCTTAATAGAGGTCATCACTCAAAGAGTAAAGATAGTAAGAAGACTTTTTAAAGACCCTTACATAATAATTTAATCTAAAAGCATAAATTACTTTGGCCAAGGAATATCAACAAAGATGCATTAATCTTAAATTAGAATATCCAAACTTTTCATTATTATGCCCCATGAAAAGCTATAAATTTGACACCAAATGGCTCTGTTTATTCAATTTGACCAAGATAAGAGATACAAACCACAAAGGAAAGTACTGATAAATTTGACTGTTAAAAATGGAAACCTCATGTATAAAAAGCCCTGGTGGTCTAGTGGTTAAGATTCTGTGCTCTCACCCCCATGGCCTGAGTTCGTTTCCTGGTGAGGGAATCACACCACCGTCTGTCAGTTGTCATACTGTGGTGGCTGCGTGTTGCTATGATGCTGAAAGCTATGCCACCGGGATTTCAAATTACAGCAGGGTCACCCATGGTGGACAGGTTTCAGCGGAGCTTCCAGACTAAGACAGACTAGGAAGAAGGACCTGGCCAGCCACTTCTGAAGAAATTAGCAATGAAAACCTAATGTCCAATATAGCACTGGAAGTTTATAGGATGGCGCAAAAAGACTGAGCAGGATTCTCCTCTGCTGTACACAGGGTCACTAAGAGTTGGAATCTAACAACAACAAATGTATAAAAAAGGAAAATAAAATGATAAGCCAATGATAAGCTGGAAAAGATATTTGTAGTCATAAAGAATGAAACTAATTTGAAACTAACAACCAATGAACATCTGAAAAGATGTTCAAGTTCACTAGTAATTAAGGAAATGCAAATTAGAATAATAAAATTTCAGCCCCATCACATTGGCAAAAATAGAAAAGTTTGACAATACCAAGTATTGACAAGGATATGGGGCTGCAAAAATTGTCATATTCTGCTGATGGAAGAATAAATTGGTGCAATATCTTTGGAAACAACTTGGTAATATCTATTAAAATTGAATATGTATAAATCTGAAACCCAGCAATTCCATTTTTAGGTATATACACTAGAGAAATGTTGATACACACCTACAAGGAGACACATACATGAAGCTTCACTATAGCACTGTTTATAACAATAAAAAAATGGAAATAACCTAAATGCCCAGCAAGAAAATGGTTAAATTATGATAATTAATGCAATGGGATACTATACAGCTTACTTACATGTACCATGATCTATATCTCTGTAGTTTGTGGTACTTAAGATGCTCCACTTAAAAAAAAAAATCTCCCTCCTTTCTTTTAAAAATAATCTAATCTGCTGGACTAGCTTCTATGCTGGACTTTACCATAGGCTCCTACTTTAGTCATCATTTGTAATTGCTTAGTTTACTTCCATAAACATTCACCCATAGAAGTAGTGGGAGAAAAGGCAGGAATTCAGCTCTCATATGACTGGCAACCTTAGCAATTGAGGAAGGGGCTTTGGTATTACAATGCTATAGGTGTTTAATATTTTCTTTTACTTTTTTTTTGTTGTGGTAAGATACACATAAAATTTATCATCTTAACCATTTTTAAGTGTACAGTTAAGTACATTCACATTGTTATGCAACTATTCATCTCCAGAATTCTTTTCATCATGCAAAACTGAAACTCTGCACCCATTAAACAATAATTCCCCATTCTTCCTCCCCCAGCTCCTGGCAACCACCATTCTACTTTCTGTCTCTATGAATTTGACTGCTCTAGGTACTTCATAAAAGTGGAATCACACAGTATTTGTCCTTTTGTGGCTGGCTGATTTCACTTAGTATAATGTCCTCAACGTTCATCCAGGTTGCAGCATGCATCAAAATTTCCTTCTTTTGTAAGGCTGAATAATATCCCATTGTATGTATATACCACATTTTGTTTATCCATTCATCCGTGGATGGCCACTTGGGTTGCTTCTACCTTTTGGCTATTGTGAATAATTCTGCTATGAACATGGGTGTACAAGTATTTGTTTGAGTCCCTGCTTTCGGTTCTTTGCGGTATATACCTAGAAGTGGAATTGCTGGATCATATGGGAATTCTATTTTTAATTTTTTAAGGAACTGCCATACTGTTTTCCATAGCAGCTGCACCATTTTACATTCCCACTAACATTGCACAAGGGTTCTAATTTCTCTATGGATGTTTAATTTTTTTTTTTTTTTTTGTGAGGGAGATCAGCCCTGAGCTAACATCCATGCCAATCCTCCTCTTTTTGCTGAGGAAGACTGGCCCTGAGCTAACATCCGTGCCCATCTTCCTCCACTTTATGCGGGATGCCGCCACAGCATGGCCTGACAAGTGGTGCCTCCGTGCGCGCCCGGGATCCTAACCCACGAACCCCGGGCCGCCAGCAGTGGAGCGCGCGCACTTAACTGCAACGCCACGGGGCCGGCCCCGGGATGTTTAATATTTTTAATGCTTGTGTTTGAAATAAATTCAGGTCAGTCTAATTAATCTAAAACAAACTATTTCTTTATACACGGTAGACACTCAAATATTTTGTTGAAATCAATTCAACAATCAATAAATGTTTATTGAATTAAATTTAACATATTTGTTGAATTCCTACTATGCATAAGGCAGTATATTAGGTATTACAAGGGACACAAAGATGAATAATAGTCTCTACTCTCAAGGAGTTTATAATCCAGTAGATCTAATAAGTATAAATTGAACTAAATATGCAGCATATCATTGAATATCTAGCTATTAAAAGTAGACATTTCTATTTCTTGTATTAATAATAAAACTATTGAGTACGATTTATATTTGCACAGATTTTTACCTGTTTGTTTGCAAACACAACCAGAGGAATGATTGGGTTTGTTCCAATTAGTTGATGAAGGTGTTTCTTGGCTTCAGGTAATCTGATGTGATCTGCTGAATCTACCACGAAGATCAGCAGCAATCCCCTGGACAGGTACATTTCCCAATAGGAACGGAAAGGTTCGCTGCCGCCAACTATAGAGAATAGTAGAGAAAGAAGACACACAAAAATCGCAGAAGGTCCACTGAGGAGGGCGGGAAAGGCACATTTAGATAATTTACGAACACTGGGCAGGTGTTCTGATAAAATACCACTGTGTTAGAGTGTACCCAATTCTAAGAATGACCAGAGAGATGTTACTGGGGAAACGGCTGGTGGGAATATTTACCCTCCACAAATGGTTCATTCATTCTGGAACACAAAGGATCAACACAAAGATACTAGATTTTACAGTGGATGCCTCCTGATCCTGTTATACACAGCAGCCATAGCGACCCCTGCATGTCTGTCAGTTATAGCTCGAAAAATAGGAATAGGCTACTAAAATAACTGAGGGTGGTGGGTTAAGACACATTTCTCTAAAGTTTTAAATGGACTGAATTCATTGGCTAGCCTCATTTCCACAATTTTTTTCCTTTATCAAAATCCCATAACGAATTTCTCCTCTTTTTTTTTTTTTGGTGAGGAAGATTAGCCCTGAGCTAACATCTGTGCCCATCTTCTTCTATTTTGTACATGGGACGCCACCACAGCATGGCTTGATGAGCGGTGTGTAGGTCCGCGCCCAGGATCTGAACCTGCCAACCCCAGGCTGCCAAAGCAGAGAATGTGAACTTAACCACCATGCCACTGGGCCAGCCCCAAATTTCTCCTCTTAATATTGCACTAAGTGTTAATATGATCCTGTGGGCTTTCAGGAATACCTGTTTCAGAAAAAAATGCCTTTGGATTATTTCATTCTGCTGATTCTTCCCAGAAGAAACTTTTTGGTAATGATAATAATATATATACAATGAATTTAGTTTTTATTTTTCTCCTAAGACAGAGGCCCTAAACTATGGCCCACAGTCTAAATCTGGCCCACTGCCTATTTTTGTATAGCCCACAAAGAATGAATTTTACATTTTTAAATGTTTGAAAAAAAAAGAATAGCATTTCATGACACATGAACATTTTATCACATTTGGATTTCAGTGTCTACAAATAAAGTTTTATCAGAACAGACGTGGATTTGTTTATCTATTGTCTATGGCTGATTTCACATTACAACTGCAGAGCTGAACAGCTGCAATAGAGATCATGTAGCGCACAAAGCCTAAATTATTTACTATCTTTACTTTATATTGTCCATTTTATATTGACTAATTTTATATTGTTATTTTTAAGTTGTTGATTTTGTTCAAATTCTGTGTATCTTTGCTGATTTTTTTCTCCTTGATCCTATTAATAATTGACAAAGATATGTTGAAATCCCTCACTCCAATGGTAGATCTGTCCATTTCTTCCCCTAGTTGGATTCTTTCTTTTCTTTTCTTTTTCCTTCCCTCCTCCCTCCCTCCTTCCCACCATTCCTCCCTTCCTCTCTTCTTTCCTTCCTTCCACTTTTTATATTTTGAGACTATTTTCTTAGCTATCTATTTGATTAAAATTATTATTTCTTCTATAGCTTCTGGGCAAATTTAAACCTCTATTCCTAATAATGCTTTTAGCTTAAAGATTTGCCTACAAGGTTTACCAATTTCTTTGTGCACCATTTTCTCTTAACTGGACGAAAGCAAAAATAAAAAGGTGATGCAGTAATCTAAGTAAGAGACGATGGAAGTTCCGACTCAAATAGGGGCAGTGGGAAAGGATGTAGCTGATGAATTTGAGATTTGTTTTAGAGGTAGAGAAATTCATGGTGTTTTACTTGTGGACTGGAGGTGGGGATACAGAAAGAGGAACCAAGGGTGACTCCCAGTTTTCTGGCTTGAGCAACTTGATGGGTGAGGAGCCATCTACTGACCAGTGAATTACAGGGAAAGGAAGAGATATGGAGATAAATCAAGCATCTTGTTTTGACCGTGTTAGGTTTGAAAAGCCGGTTAGACTGCCAGGTGTAGATGTCAGGTGACATTTGGATATGTTTGGGCAGGATAGACAAATTTGGGAGTCATTAGCATATAGATGGTATTTAACGCCAAAAGGATGGATGAAATCATCCAAGGAGAGAGTGTAAAGAGGATCTGATGCAACTGTGGGGAACAGCAATATTTAGACAGGTGGTGACTCCAGAATGACTATAGAGTAGGAGCTTCTGGGCTACCATCTGGTTACAAGGAGAGGTTTGGGGCTTGTCTATAGTTGCATTTGCAGAGAAGGAAGCACACTTTATTTACTTAGATTGCATGTTTATTGGGGTAATAAGGATAGAGGGGGTGCTAAAGCCTTCCTCTCAGCTCCCCTTTATCACCACCACTGCAAAAAGGAGAAAATAAAAAGAGCAGAAAATTATTTCCCCCACAGCAGTGCACCCTAGTATTAAACTACACATGCATTGTAAAAGTCTAGGAAAATCTGGTCAAGTGTTACTCTTCACAAGGACCCAATGTTGATAACATTATGTCTGGCTTAAGGTATATAAATGCAGCTATCCCATAACGAACGAGAAAGAGGGCTTACTCTCCAGGAACTCCATCTGGCTGTCTTCAGTGTTGATGCACACTGCATTGAAACCTTGGGTGGGTGCGACACTGTGCTGGACTCTGTTTAAAGCTAGAGAGTGGAGAACACTGGTCTTTCCTGCTCCATCCAGGCCCAACACTAGGATCTGCTTATTATTCTCCTGTGAAACAAAAGATAAATCGATAAACCTATGCTATCAGGGCCTTGTTTTCCTGGCTCCTGGCAATGTGCCTGCCTGTGGTAGGACCCAATAATATTTGTGGATTGTAAACCAGAACAAAACTTCACAAATAATTTAATAGGTCTAGAACAAACTGTACCAATCAGTATGTATCTTATAATCAGCCATTAGTTATGTGACATTAATTGCACCTCCTCTCTCCATCCCCCAACTCCTGGACAATCTATCAAATAAATACTTTATATCTATCAGGATTTATGGGAGGTGCCATAGAGCACAGGACCGATTTTCAGACTTCACTTTGCTTCCTGAGTTCATGTTCACGGCGGCTGCACCAGAATTCAGTTTGTTGTTTGGGGTCTTGGCACTTTCATGGTCGATGTATTGACTGTGCCACTCAGCATGTAAGCATCTAAGGTCTCATATTATTAACCTGTCTTGTCTTCCCAATTGGATCACTAGATTATAATCTCTTAGGGCAAGGTTCCCCTCCTATACTTTTTTTTTTTTTTTTTTGGTGAGGAGATTAGCCCTGTGCTAACATCC